TTTCTTTTTGAGAGAGCGAGAGAGAGCAGGGAGGGGCAGAGAGAGAGGGAGACAGAGGATCCGAAGTGGGCTCTGTGCTGACAGCAGAAAGCCCAATATGGACTGAGCTAAAGTCAGATGCTTCACCAACTGGGCCACCCAGGTGCCCCAGAACCGCAGGGCCTCCTTGCACTGTAGCAGGTGGCATGGCAGAATGTGTGAGGGCACACCTACGGGCAGACCGGCGGGGTTTGCCCTCAGAGGCACATAGGCTGCTGAGGCACGTGCCTGAGCCTGATGGCAGTTCCAGAACCATCAAGAACCCGGGCTCCTTCTTTTTGCTCTGGTATCATCAAGTCAGGGCTATTCCTCATGGACCAAGATGGCTTTCCCTGCCCTCTGCAGCCAGTGGGAAGCAGAACTGATCACTTCTTCCTCTTTCCCCATTGGCCTACACTTGGTCACATGACTACACTGAAAGGCAAAGGAGGCTGGGAAATATAGTCTTTAGCTTGACGGCCACATGTCCAGCTAAAATTCTATTTGTGTGAGAGAAAGGAAGAGTGGACACTGAAGGACAGTGGTCATCCCGGAGTCAGCCTGTGAGGCCATGACATTGAGAGTATAAAAGGACCCATGATAAGGCCACTGGCCTGGAGATCTTGATGAGGTCAGAGAAGGACCAGAGCAGGTATGCTCAAAAATTTGTGCTGGAATGGAGAGGTGTAGTCAAGGGGTAGGGCACTTGAATCAAGGGTTGGAGGAGGAGCGGTTGCTGGTGATGGCCAGTCTGGGGTAGGATTGTGAGGTTGAGTGGCTAGGGTGGGGCAGAGGGCAGGAGTACAGTGCAGGGAGAGGCCAACGGACTGTGAGGCCAGGGGGACCAAGGGTCATCCACGTGGATGCTAGAATTACAGAGAGGGAGGGCAGTGTTCATGGTGGACAGGAAGCCATGTACCCGAAGTGGGGTCACCCAGAAGAGGAGTGACCGGGATGGGGAGCTGCTGGCAGGAGCAGGTGGCCTGGTACACAACAAGCATCAAGAAGGAGCAAGAGGACAGGGTCCTAGGGAAGAGCTGGGTTTCCATTCTAGAAGTGGAGAAGGATGTGAGAGGAGAAAGGGGAGTGGTGAGGGTTGCTTGAGAGAGGTGGAAAGCAAGGCCAGAGGAGGGGGACATAGAGTGAGCAGAGAGCCACCCAAAAGGAGACGAAGTCTACAGATATGTGGGAGGCATTTGGCCAGCTTGGAGGCCAATGGGATATGAGAGTGGGGAAGAGAGGACATCCCTAATGGTATCCCAGGTTTCTGGTTGGGTGACGGGGTGGACGAAGCTGGCCCTCCCTAAGGTGGAGAACACTGAGAGGGGCTGGCGTTGGGGAAAAACGACCAGGTTTAGGCCATGGTGGGTGTGATCACCCTGTAGGACACTCAGAGGGTTTGTCCAGGAGTTACAGGATACCCAGGTCTGGGCTGGCATCGGAGATGGGTAGGCAAGCAGTGCCGCTGGACTGCAAGCTAAGAGAGAACACACAGGACTGAGGTAGGACTTGGTGCCTGTGGGACGTAGCGACTGTATCTGGGATAGTCGTCATCCCAAGGGGATGAGGGGAATGGGCAGGGAGCATGCATGCTGTGGTGTTCAAAACATGCACACACACATACACACACGCACAAGATCTTTCCAGAATATAAGAGGTCATAAGCATGTATAGGAATTGAGAAGAAGGAAGGGGCCAGACAGAAGAGGCCTCCACATATAGAGAGTGGGGGGTGACCTGGTAAGGAGCCTGAAGGGGCAGGAATGGAGAATGCCTCAGTTTCCCCACAGGGAAAATGGTGTAATAAACCAGGCCAGCCAACTTGGGTTGGCCTGGAAGGAGGAGTCTCCCCACCTCAGGAAGCCCCAAGAGCTGTCCCCCCTCCCACCCTCAGCCCCCACAAAGGCCTGTCTGACCGAGATAAGGAGAGCAAGGCATGTTCCTTATGCCCAAAGAGTCCTTAAATAAAAGGTGCCACATCCATACAATGGAGTCATGGCAAATGCTGGTGACATATGTGGGTGTTTCACAGGTGGGAAGAGAAGGTTCCAGAAGAGCGTGGGCCCCAAGTGACCTGATTTGGGTAAGAAAAAAAATACACACAGGGAAAAACTAAAAGGCAAGCCTGCTTGGTATTAGAATTGAGAGAACATTTTATTGTCTCTTTCCTGCTCATCTGAACGCTCAATTTTTCCACAACAAAAATGAGTTCTCATTTGTCCCCTTTTTTGTTTTTTTTTAGTTGTACATGCTAAAAATAAGGCGATCTCAGAGGGCCAAGAAGAAGAAAGAGCGTGGGTCCAACTAGGTCAGGTCAGGTCAGGGAACACAGCCTGGGGGCTGTGGGACCCCCACTCACCGGGACTCCTTCCCCAACTGCTGTAAACTCATGCAGGCAGACAGAGATGGGACAAGGCCAGGCGTTCACAAGTGGACCTCCAAGGGAGGGTCCATGGAGGCCGAGGTTCCCGTCTGTGGTCCAGGCTCTACTGAGAATGTTCACCAAGTACCTGCCAGGGGACCCCACCTGGAACAAGCAATCTCCACAGCAAGCATGACTCCAGGGGCCCGAATGACACCTTTCCCACCCTGCTCTGGGCCAGGCATCAGAAGGTTGGGGAGGCTGGCCCTTTGGGAGGTGCATGATAAGAAATAAGAAGGCCTTGGGGCGTCTGGGTGGTTCAGTCCGTTGAGCGCCCGACAGTTGATTTTGGCTCAGGTCGTGATCTCACAGTTCATGGGATCGAGCCCTGAGTGGGGCTCTTCGCTGACCTCGCGGAACCTGCTTGAGAGTCTCTCTCCTCCTCTCTCTGCCCCTCCCCCCTCACATGCCCGCTTTCTCTCTCAAAATAAATAAACCTTAAAAAACAACAAATATAAAAGTAAATAAGTAAACTAAACAAGAAGGCCCCCATTCTCAAGCCCCCCTCTCCCCATCCCCCGCCCGCCCCGGGCAAGGATAGTTTGGATAGTTTGTCGCAGTTTGTTTTACCGAAACGAGGTATTACTTTACACTCAATACAACGGAAATTCCTTCAACACAATTCATGCAGTTTTATGTCACTTAATGTAACGTCGGTATCATATCCCGGGGTGTGAATGCACCAGTACCTATTCCTGTTGCTTCTGGCTGTTTGCTACCATTAACAACACTGCTTTGGGTATTTAAAAACAAAAACAAACCCAATCCCAGGTGTCCTAGGACCAGAAGTCTGCTCAGAAGCCCGGGGCCACCGTGACAGGTGAGGCTCTCGGTGAGCCAGGGCTCCCCTCTGAGCTGCCTGCCAGCATCCGGCATCCACACAATGAGGGTCAGGTTAGAAGAGGACCAGGGTCCCCCCTGCGGATGGGATCGGTCAGAGTCAAAGCACTGGCTCCCTCCCGCGATCACCCGGCACAAACTAAGTGAGGACCCGCAACCTGCAGGCACTGACCTGGGCACTGTCACTGGACCGCGGAGACGGTTCCCGCCCTCAGGGACCCCTGTGCAGTTGAGGAAAAGGCAGATGACAGATACACACAAGAATGGGAGCAATGCCATGCCTCGAAGCGGGCTGGGAGTTGCCAGGTGCTAAAAAAATAAAACACCCACATTCTGTGTGAACACAGGAATGCTGCTATGGGTCTAGGGTAGTGTGTAAACGGGGTGTTTAATGTTGGTTTTTTTTTTTTTTAATGTTTATTTATTTTTGAGAGAGAGAGAGACAGAGCGTGAATGGGGGAGGGCAGAAAGAGAGGGAAACACAGAATCCGAAGCAGGCTCCAGGATCTGAGCCGTCAGCACAGAGCCCGACGCGGGCCTCGAACTCATGAACAGCGAGATCATGGCCTGAGCGGAAGTCAGACTGAGGCAGGGTCTAAATATAATGCAAATTAAAAATGGTCTCCAGCTAGAGACCAGTGTTTGATGGAAACTGAGCCCCAGACTGCAGTGTCCTGTGAAAAACAGGGTTCAGCAAAGCGTTAGAAGGCGCTAAAGACACGGGGGAACCAAAAAGCGACTTTCTCCCTGACCTATTCCGAAGAACCGAAGAAAATGAAAACCCACGTCGTTCTCCCCCTGTGGGGTTCTCAGCCCATGGGAGCTGCCCAGCCCACACCCCGTGTATACAAGCAGGACAGACATCATCGCTCCCATTTTACAGATGAGGAAATCTGAGATTTGGAGGAACAGCCAGCAAAGTCGCTCAGCTCCAAGGCCTCTTCCTCCTGGAAACCTTCCCCACCGCCGGGGACCTGGGGAGGGGCCTCCTTGGTCCTCCCACAGACCCTGAACTGAGGCCCAGTGAGGCGCTGGTGGCACATAGCGTAACTTGCGGGACCCCCTTCCGTAAACTGGGGTCGACTTACCGTTCTGGGCCCGAGCCCGCTGGATCCCTGAGTGCCTGCTGCCCCCGCAGATAGGGCCCCCCGGCGGCTGCATTCGGGGGATAAGCCAGGCTATTTTCATCACTTCCTTCCTCCCACTCAAGCATCGCCCACCATCTGCTGCCTCACATCCAGCTGCCAACTCAGCCTCCACCAGGACAGTTCAAGCCACAGAAGAGGGTGCCGACTGCAGGCCTCACAAGTAAGTGGCCCTCCTTATTACCCATCGCCCCCTCCCACACACACCCCCGCTCCCAGCTGGGACAACGGGACAGGGCCTGGCAGGGGAGGCCAGCCACCGAGGCCTGCCTGTGTCCCACCTTCAGCTCTCTGCTCCAGATGGGGCTGGGCGGGGGGCACTCGCTCTGAGACACGGGCTCCTTGGTTTATTCAACCCAAATTCACAGGAAGCCTGTGCGGGCCAGGCCCTGGTGGGGAGGGCCTGTCTTAGGAAGGGGAAACGCTCGTAGGGAAGTCACCCGGAGCTCATGAGGCCTGAGTTTGAGTCTGTTCTCTGACACAGACCGCTGGGTGACCCTGCACAAGTCACGCTCCGTCCCTGGGCCTCAATTTCCCCAACTCTGAGCATTAGCCTAGATGCATGGCTTCCCACAGGGAACCTCTTCTGTTCTCCTTCCCTGTCTGCGCCTCAGCATCCAGTTTTCGGCATTGGCTTTCACCTAAGAGTTCACTCGGCCTCGGGGCGAGCTGTTTGGCATGGTTGGGAGGAGGTGTGGTCTGTGAAATCCACACTGGCTGCCTGACCCCAGGCTTAGAGGTAGGGGGGCGGGGAGGAGCCTGGGGGCCAGGGGTCGGAACTGGGAATCATGTAGCAGGCATGAGCGCCCCTCACCCATGAACTGGGGCTGGGGTCTCTGTTAGGGGCCAGGAGGTCCCTTCCCAAGAGCCTTCTTACCCTCCCTCCCGTCCCCCATCACAGCCACGCTCACCATCCTGCCTTCTGAGTGTCCAGTGAGGCTCAGCGAGGCCTGGGTGGGACTCATTACACTTGCTTCTGTCTTCACCACCCCATTTCAACACAGGAGAAAGTTGAGGCCTGAGAACGGAGGTGAGTGGTCCCTTGTCTCAGGTTCGATCCCCCTAGCCCTTGGCATGGGGTGGAGGCTGCCGGGCCCTCCCTCACCCTCCCTCACCTCACGGCCACTCTCCCCACAGCCAGCCTGCCAATGCCTGCCTGGGGGGCCCTGTTGCTGCTCTGGGCTGCCGCAGAGGCCACCAAGGACTGCCCGGCGGAGTGCACCTGCCAGGCCCTGGAAACCATGGGGCTGTCGGTGGACTGCAGGGGGCGGGGGCTCACGGCCCTGCCCACCCTGCCCACCCAGACCCGCCACCTCCTGCTGGCCAATAACAGCCTTAGCTCCGTGCCTCCGGGTGCCTTCGACCACCTGCCCCAGCTACAGGTCCTCGACGTGACGCAGAACCCCTGGCACTGCGACTGCAGTCTCACCTACCTGCGTCTCTGGCTGGAGGACCACACGCCCGAGGCCCTGCTGCACGTCCGCTGTGCCAGCCCCAAGCTCGCCACGGCCCACCCCTTGGGCCAGCTCACGGGCTATGAGCTGGGCAGCTGCGGCTGGCACCTGCAGGCATCCTGGGCCTACCCGGGCTTCTGGTGGGACGTGGCGCTGGTGGTCGTGGCCACGCTGGGCCTGGCTCTCCTGGCTGGCCTGCTGTGCACCGCCACAGAGACCCTGGACTGAGCCCAGGACCCTAGGGTCACTCCCCCCAGCCTGAGCCCCCAGTAACCCAAAATAAACTGCTCAACCATTGTATCCAAGCTCAGAAAAATTGTGTTTCCTCTCGGTACCAAGTCTGGCTCCTTCTGGAAACCTGGGTCTGTTTTGTTATAACCTGATATCAACTGGGGCTTCTCTGTCCCCCAGGTTCCTAGTAAAACGGGCTGTTCCACCTCCCCCACGCCAGCCACCCCCAATTCCACCATCTGTGGACATCCCGAGCCCTTCTTCGGTGCCTGACAGGTCCCAGGACTCCGGTCCGCACGCTCTCCTCTGTCCCAGCGCCCACATGGAACACTCTGGAGGGCCCAGGCGAATTTCACATCAACACGTGGCTCCCGTCCAAATTCTGCAGAAAGCTGGCTCTCACGACACAGCAGTGAGCAAAGCGGGAGGCGCAGAAGACCCCGGGCAGGTGGGAGGAGTTTCCATCTCTGTGACGGACATACCTTGAAAGGCAACACCACCGTTTACAAAACAGCCTTTTGTGTCCTGGCCACGAAGACACCTGCTTTTCCGGCCCCATCCTTTCTCATCTTCCCCTGCAGGGCTTCTCTCCTTTCCTCCTCTCTCTATCCCTCTTTCTTCAGAAACAAAAGTGGGGCTCCTGGGTGGCTCAGTCGGCTCAGCGCCCAACTCTGGCTCAGGTCATGACCTCACGGCTTGTGAGTTCGAGCCCCACGTCAGGCTCTGTGCTGACAGCCCGGAGCCTGGAGCCTGCTTCGGATTCTGTGTCTCCCTCTCTCTGCCCCTCCCCCCCCCCAATATAAATAAACATCTAAGACATTTTTTAAAAAGAAACAAAAGAAATTCTTCCCTTTCTCATGGAAACAACTCCAGGTGCCGACATCAGACACCTCAAACTCCGGAGTCCCACTTGTACCCCCAGCAATGGTCACCAAATTCTTCAAACAAGACTCTTCTCTCCCTCAGAGGATTCTGGTGCCAGCAGTTAAACTAATAAGACATTTCTCCACCGTATGAGAGTGTTTCCAGGTCTGTTACGGCCAATCTGAATCCAAATATAATCACCCCAAGGTCCTTCCCTCGAGGAGATCCTGCATGTGGTGGGCCTGGGGCTCAGAGGGTACCATAAGGAAGGTCAGGTAGGCACAGAGCACCATGGGAGGGCACTGAGCCACAGAGCTGAGGCTGGAGCAGGAGGCCCGAACTCGGGGGTGGGGGTGATCTATAGGGAGAGGTGGAGACTATGGCAAATCCGACAGCCCGTGTTCCATCTGTGCTGCCCTGTGCAGATGTGAACCCTGTCTTCCCATTCGTCCGGGGAGATCGGAAATGTACATCTGTATGTGAAATCCCAACCTCAGTGTTGGCAAGTGAATCCGGAAAAAAATACGTATACATCAACAGGACACATAAAATACATTGATTGACTGGATGGAGTCCGTAGGCTGAGAGTCTGTGAATTGTACAGTCGGGATCAGCTGGAACGGGGCGGCCTTGGGGAGCAGGAAAAGCTGGCATCTCCCCACAGGGCACTTAGTAGGTGTGCAGCCCTGCGTGAACCACCCGCCATGGGGCCTTCTTGTATGCCCTGTGAGGAAGGCACTGCTCCCCCACACCGGATGGAGGACACAGCCCCAGGGCCCACGACACTCTTCACAGGCGTGATCTCAGACAGGTCCCCTTTCGTACCTGAAAAGTGCCCCCTTGACAGCTTCCTCAAACTAAGGCCCTTCAGCAACCCCAGGCCCCCCCATGTAGGGTGCCCCTAAATCCTGCTACTGCCCCTTCCTGAGGCCCACACATGCAGCCACGGCTCTGGCACAGTAGTGATCATAAGCCTTGATCCTACTGGCCAAGCAGCTGGTCCCATGAGACACTGCCAGGAGCCCAGACAGCACAGCATCGTCAATGCAGAGGGTGACGTCCCCGCGGGAGGTGGGGAGGGTAGGGATCTCCCGAGGTGGATGGCGGATTCACACGAGAATCCCCAGGGAAACAGGTGCGCTGGGAAACTCAATTGGCCACCTCTGTTGTCCCCATGGTCTTTGTCCCAGGCCAGCAAGGTGGCCACCACAGCACCACGCGCATAGTCCCCACCCACTCCACAGCCACCAACCCAGCATCCACAGATCCCATCACCACGGCCGACCATCCGCCGGCCACCACTGTCTCCTACGGGTCGGCCACAGCCACAGACATCAGGCGACACCGCCCACCCCCTGCCCCGCCGGCCCCCTACAGCTTCTGTCACCTCTAGCACCAAACAACCAGGGACCTTGGCCCCATCACGGTCACCCTGACGTCATCCTCATGACCATCTCCCTCATGAGCGTTTTCAAAATCAAGCGGCACGTGGAGAATTTGCTAAGGTGACTTTCACCAGCTGCTGACCCCCTTGCCACCTCTGCCTTCTGCCCCTGCTCCAGGCTCCTGCTCCGCCCGGCTTCTAGGGCCTGCTCAGAGCCCTCTGCTGGTCCTCTGCAATCCTCTGGCCAGTGGGTGAGCGGAGAGACCAAAGAGGAAAGCGCGGATGTTCGTGGCCGGGCCTGGAAGAGGTAGGGAGGGCCTTTGCAAGCAGCTGTTGTCTGGAACCGGCCACCGGCCCCGCCCTAACCACAAGGGAGGCCTGGAACTGCTCCCCCTGTGTGCCCAACCGCAGCAGCAGGCGGGCATCTGGCCACTGCCGGCCCCACCCGGTCTACGCAAAGGTAATGGCACTTGATCAGAAGGCAAGCACACTGTAGAGAGGGAATCTGTGAAGCCTGGGCGGTCTCGGGGGCACACGCCGAGTCTTGGCCCTGAGCCACAGCCAGACCCAGCCCCTAACACAGTGCCCATCTCATGTGTTTTGCATACACACTTAACCACACCTCCTGTAAGTGCATGTGTGCACAGAGTCTCCTAAGACTCCATGGCCCAGCCAGGACCCTCACCGTCTCCAGCCCCTGGGGTTGACACGTCAAACCTGATGAGAGTGAATTCCTTGTCGGGCAAAGGATGCACTCCATTTCTTGAAAGCGGCCTGAGCCAGCCCCTGTGCGTGTAGCTGAGATGGCAGAGAGAAGGTGGAAGGCTCTGCCCTCCCCAAGCTCCACTCCAAAGGGGGATGCTGAGTCAGGGGCCTGAGGAATCTTCTAAGAACAGCATCTGACTTGACAGACACCCCTGGCCTCTGAATGTCAGCTTTCTAAATGGCTCTGGGGCCAGAATCCTCATTTTAAATCACTACAGGCAATATGTCTTAAAATCTTGGGGAAGTTTTGTGTCTGTAGATAGATCTCTAACCAAGTGGGTTAAATTCAGAGAGGAAAGCAAAACTGTAATATTTTCTTTCTTTTTTTTTGTGTGTGTTTATTTATTTTTGAGAGAGAGAGACAGAGTGTGAGCAGGGGAGGAGGAGGAGACAGGGGGAGACACAGAATCCAAAGCAGGTTCCAGGCTCTGAGCTGTCAACACAGAGCCCAACGAGGGGCTTGAACCCACGAACTGTGAGATCATGACCTGAGCTGAAGTCGGACGCTTAACTGGCTGAGCCACCCAGGCACCTCTATTTTCTTTTTTAATGTTTATTTATTCTTGGGAGAG